CTACTACTACTACTACTACTACTACTACTACGGCTACTACTACTACTACTACTACTACTACTACTACTACTACTACGACTACTACTACTACTACTACTACTACTACTACTACTACTACTACTACTACTACTACTACTACTACTACTACTACTACTACTACTACTACTACTACTACTACTACTACTACTACGAATCACAAAGCAAGGGCATTTTTGAACTGACAGGTGCGTCGCCCACGCCCTACACTCTGAGCACAAGAGATCCGCCGCAGCACCACCCCACCTGCGGGAGCCCCCAGGCTGTCCCCATCGTGAATGCCGCTGCTCTCCCACCTCCCTCCCTCCATTAAAACCTCTCCTCGGGTCACCATGTCAAGGGAGGAAAAACCACCCGGACTGGACAATTGGCGTTTACTAAACGGCCCTGGGCGTTCACTAATCAGCCCTGCCCTTTTCGGTTCCTTCAATGGGGGCGTTTAGTAAACGGCCTCGCTTGTCCGGGTGGCTATTATGGGGGTGGATTTTCTGACCTCTACCATTCCCTCTCCCCCCCCCGCATGCCCTCGATCGGCCCCTTCTCTCCCCCTCCCCTGCATGGGCACGCTGCTGGAGCGACGGGCACCTCTCGGGCGAGACGAGGCCGCTCGAGTGACGAGCACGAGCCCGAGAACGCCGCAGGCCTCCCCGTGGGGGGCGCCCTGCGCCTTCCACTCTCCGGCGCCCTGCGCCTCCCGCTGTCGCTCGTCTCACGACACGGATCACTCCTCGGTGGGGGTCTGCGAACTCCTTGCGCCGTGCATGGGCGCACCTGTCGCGCAGAGGAGCCCTCCCGGCCCTGCTGCTCCCCTCGGTGCCCTCCTGTCCCTCCCCCCCCTCCTCCGCCTCCTCCTCCTCCTCCTCCTCCTCCTCCTCCTCCTCCTCCTCCTCCTCCTCCTCCTCCTCCTCCTCCTCCTCCTCCCCCTCCTCCGTCTCACCCGTCGTCTCCCTCGCCCCTCTTTCGGGGACGCGCTCACCCTGGTCAGCGCCGACTCGGGCCAGCCGAGGCCACATGCCCGGAGCCCGGGCCAGGCCACGAAGCAGGTCTCCCAAGACCGAGCTCCAGCGTAGAGGTCCGGCCGTCCCTCGCTCCCCCACCTCGGAGCACCGGGGGGAGAAAGGAGGCGGAGAGGTAGACCGCGGGATCGGCGGCATGGTGAGGAGGCGAGGCCAGGGGAAAGAGTGGGCCGTCAGGCAGCCTCACCGCCGAAGCGGGAGCGAGCGGAGGCGAGGAGGACAGAGCGATCCCCAAAACACCGACCAGCAACGTCGTGGGGGGCAGGATCGTGGAGCGATCTGCCGGCATTCCGAAGAGTGCTTTGGCACCTTGGCTGGTGTGACAATCTCAGAGGTGTCCTTCGGGACCATGTACGTTGCAGTCTCTTTGATCTCCTTGAAGTCCTCCAGGAGGCGTAGGGAGAGAAGGTGCAGGAGAAGGAAGCAGAAAATCCGCCGACCCTGTCGGCGTGTGCAAGGGGCTTCCTCGTCCGAATCGTCTTCGTTGTTCGGATTGACATCGTTGTGTTTTCGTTGTTCGGATCGTCATCGTTGTCCATGCCGTTGTAGATTCGAAGGGAAGCCCCTTCCCTTTGATCCCTTCCCCAGGGGGGGGCAGATTCGTTTTTCCTCGGGCGGCCTAGAACCTCGAAAACACTCCAAATGAGGTCCGAATGCCCAAGATGGCCCCCTAGACGGCCCAAGAGGGCTCCGAGTCGCCCAAAGATCGGCCGAAAACGCCCAAGAGAGCCCCAAGACCGTCCAAGAAGCCTCCAAGACGTCCCAGGCCCCCTCCAAGAGACCCCCAGGAAGCCCCAAGAGGCCCCCACGAGGCTTCCAAGCGGCCCCTAAGAGCTTCCCAAGAGGCCCACCAACTACCCCCAAGAGGCCCCCAAGAGCGCTCGTCGTCGTCGTCGTCGTCGTCGCCATTCAGGGTCGGCGGCACCGGCCGTAAGGCCTTCGCAATAATGCTGGACAGGGAGAGGCGACAACAAAAACATTGCGGCACGAACATTTGCGCAGAACTGGACGCTGGCATGATAAGGACTTTCGCGAACGGAATCCCCTCAGGCACGATGTCGATAAGAGGCAAGTCGGCGGGATAAACATCCACCAGCGCATAGTATGGCATCTCAAGCGGCGACAACGGTCAACAATGTTTCTCCATCGGTCGATGGTCCACCGGCAAACACGGGTTGGGTGTTACCCTTGGTAGATCTTTGGGCTCCCTGGTCCAAGCTGGCTGGAGACGACAAACGGAACTCCTTCTGCTTGAACACGCAGATGGGATCGAAGATGCGTCCCAGGGCTTGGCGGGCTGGTGGCTTCATCGGCTCGTACATGCACTTGTCATCTTTCCAGCCCCTCATGCCTTTCGGATGGTGCTCGACCCTCTTTGCCTGGCTAGTGTCCATGCCACACTCATACCACTCTATCCTCTCCGTGCGGTGGTTGAAGACCCCCTTCGCCTGTTGGGAGGGGGGGCTGGACAGATATCAGCGCTCGGCAGTGACCGACGAACACGTGCACAACTCGAGGCCCTGACACAGATGCTGAGCGAAGGGCTAGAGACGCCTGTCCATTCTAGGGTTGGGCAAGTGTGTATGTGTGGGGGGTGTTTACAGAAGGGTTCAGCGAATCAGCTCACGTACCTGGGTTCCCCCGCGCGTCCCAGCGCTGGAGGTGCCCATCTGTCGAGGAATTGCGCCCCGCGGCGAGGCCCGAAGTCCAGAAGATCGTGTTGGGCCCGACCCTACCAGATCTGACTGTAGATTTCTGGCCGGGGATACGGTCGAACCTTCATGTGGATCCCGCAGTGCTTGCGTGCAACACAACGCCTGCACGAAATGGTGCTTGCGCAACCCTAATCAACAACCGCATCCACCACAATGCCTGGCGCCTGCGACCACCACAATACTTGTGCTCGCTACAGAGACTGCGTACACCCCCAATGTCCCGACGTGGCCCAATCTCCTGAAAGTCATGATAGGCCCGAGCGTGTCAAATTCAATCAACGAGTGAATTGTGATGATTCGTGTTTCTGGCCAGGGGAACGGACCTGCATATCGGGAACGCAGTGCCTGCGTGCAACACAACGCTGGTGAACAAAACGATGCCTTTGCAACCACACCGGCTGTGTGCACCATAGCGTCTGGCGCCTGAGACCACCACAAAGCCTGTGTACATTTATGCGGTCCCGACGGTGCCCAAACTCTGGAAAAACCTTGGCGGGTCCGAACCCATCATGTTCAAAATGTTAGCTCTGTGTGATTACTGCTGTCTCCACTCCGGGAAACGAGCCGAATATTTGGGGGGGGGTCCGCAAAGCCTTCGTGCACCACCACGCTGAGACATGAGATGAGTGCACCACCACATCAGCCGTGCGCACGGTGGCGTTTAGCGCCTGCGTGCACCAGAGTGGCTGTGTGCACGCCCGTGTGCACCACAGCGCCTGTATGACACCCCCAAGTTTCAAACGGTGCAGAGAACTGCGGTGAACCCGAACACGTCAGTTCCAGTATGCAAGTTGTTTGTGTTTACTTCTGTTGATTGATGTGTCTGGCCTTTGGCATGGTCCCCCGTATTTTGGGCCCGCAGTGCCCGCGTACACTACATCGACCGTGGGCACCACGGAGCTCCCGCACGGCAAAACGCCTGTGCGCACACCAGAGGGAGCTCACAGCGCGGCGGCCAAGGGCCCCGCGAGATTCCTGGAGGGTCCGCCTGCGCTGCGAGGACGCGTCTCCAAGCAAGAGGGCCGCCCCCCTCTGCCCGACACCGCGGCCCCTCGTGCTGGCTCGCCCTCGCTACTCTGAGGTCGGGCTTTTCCTCCCGCGGGCGAAACATGCAAGACCAATAAAAGAAAAAGTCAAACAGTAATCAAGCATAGGAACGAAAACTGCGAAAAAAATCGTCCCCATAGCATTGCGTGACTATTTCCCTACCTAGGCTCTGCCTAGAAGGGTTCTTACTCTCTTGGCTTAAAGGGGCCGGGCAGTGGGCTCCGCCCCGGGCGGTTCCCCCAGGATCCGCCCCGCGGTTCCACCAGCTACGTCCCCTTAGCTTAGCGTTGCTTATCTCATCTTAGCTTAGACTAGCTTAGTCTAGCTTAGCTTAGCTTCATCTTAGCTTCGCGTAGCTGTAGCTTAGCTTAGCTTAGCTTAGTTTCGCATATCAGAGAGAGCGTTACCCACCGCCGCTTTACGATGGAAAATTGCCAACCTTTTCCTCCGGAACCCGGGGGTCGACCCCCCCCCCTCCGAAAATCCCCCCCTCTGCTGGACAGCCCCCCCCCTCCCCCGGCACCCCCCCGCCCCCCCTCCCCTACCCCCCCCCCCCCGTGGACTCAAAATATGGTTATATTTAACGACGCTGGTTTCTTTCGTTTCTATTGCCATGAAACGGGCATGCGATCGGGTTAAGAAGGGCAGCTGTTTTCGGATGCAACGACAACCAGTAAGAATGCACGCGGGCAATGTGTGACGGAACACTGATACCTACATCGCAGATGCTGGGCGCTTGCGAGTAACCTTTGCGTTTGAGGGTAGCAGGGCCTCGTCTACTGATTCGTTCGCTGTCACAGCATGATTCATACGGGGCACGAAACTAAGAGGTGCCTCTGTTAAAAGAAAATGGGAGAATTGGGCCAATAGATCGTGCTCTGCAAAAGAATGCGACTGGTCACGCTGGCACTTTGATAAGAAGCCTATGAACAGCTTTGCCAACTTCGCCGCAGCAGCAATGCACAGAGAGCGTCGTTGTGTTTGCCACATGACGTTTCTGTAAAAAGCCTTCAGCTGCTTGTGGAACGCTTCGTTGACAGTGGTTCCAAATATGACGTCATGGTTTGGGTTGTTGGCGACGTACTTGCAAAACAAAATGAATGGGTCCCAGCTCCTGCGCCGTTGTCGCGCATTCCAAACTGCTGAGCACCGTAGTATTCTTAGCTGTCTTGCGATGCATCATGTTTGGGTGTGCTGAGCAGATCGCTGCCAGGTCCTGGATGAAGTCGTACATGAGATCGCACGGCTTCTCCACGTAGCTGCTGCTGTTTTGGATGCGGCGGCGCAAAGATTTCGCATCTGATGGCCTCATAGCAGCAATTGCGGCCACCAGTTCGGAAGGCCCCGGGCGACCATCACTACACTGAAAATCACGAGGTCTGCCAAGTCTCCCGAGGCGACATGTAACAATGCTTTTACGAACGCTGGAAGAGAATGCCGTCGCCCTTGCATTGGATTATTGCTCGACCTTGAGGGCCATGTGCAGCAGGTCTTTGCCGGCGCATTTCAGGTTAGGAAACGCGGCGCGCAACTGGCTGCACTCGTCTAAAGACGCAGGAAAGTCGGAGCAAATCATCTGCCCCTTCTCCGCATCCACTCTGCAAACAGAATTCCGAAGAGCGCGCGCCTGCTGGACGGGGTCTTCCGAACTGGAACCGAAAATCTCGAGCATGCTGTCGTTGCACTGGACAGTAAGAAGAACGCGCAATGGAACCCGACCTCGCCCTGGAACTGCGTCTGGCTTCTGTCCGCGCGGAACTTGGCACAGCACAGACATCAATGACTTGTAGAACCCATCCACGCCCAAGACGCGGACCTCGCAAGCCGCGCGGCATCTTTCCACGGCACGCCGGACACTGATGTGATTGGTCATCTTCTCGTTTAAAGCATGGTAGAACGCTTCCCCGGTCGGGAACAAATGCGAATTATCGCCCGACTGAGCAACGATAACAGAAACTATCCGCTGCGTAGCCCCATTCGCATTCGGGTGAATCATGGCAGCGAGGTAAGCGTTCCGGAAGACACCAGTGCAGTAAAACTTGCCGGACACCTTGTGGTACCTGTTGCAATCCTCCGTTAGCACATACTTTGTGTTCGCTAAGTCCAATAAAATGGTGATTTGTTTGTCCAACCGCATCACATCACAAGCGAGTTGGCCTTCCCACTGCGACCACGAGGGGCTCTCCTCCAATTGAGATCTGACGTCGACTACGCAGCGATTCAGCATGTTTCCAGCAGAGATCTGACCATCGCGTCCGCACAGCTCGTTAAAGCGGGACCGTGATACCATCTGGTCCCATTGTCCACTTACATCGCATTGCACTTTTTCTGAAATAATGCTGCAGCGAGCTTTGATATGACATCTGCTCATGTGCGTGATCGAATGACGTTTCTCGCTGAAGCCCCTGGCGATGCACATAGGGCATCCCCAGTGATGCGGAGAACCGAACTCGGCGTAGTCGCCCATGCAACCAGTTAGGCCCCACCAGTGAAGAGCCTCCTCTCGCACTGCCGAAGCCAATCCCTCAGGCCACCGATCTGATTTCACGCCCACTTGACCTGGGGCGGTAGCTGCTGAGCCCCTGCTGGAAGACGCAGGCCGCTTCTTTATGGTTTTCCGGGCCCCCGTGCCACAAAGCGAGTCGCGCCCCAGAGATCGGCGTTGGCGATCGGGCTGCTCGCTCTGCAAATGAATCACGAAGGCTTTCTTCAACCCGTGCCTGAGATCATCAATCAAGGTGTTGAAGGCGGCTGCAGAGACCATTGCGCCGCGTTGGAAACTGACGAGCGCGCACTTACCGACGTGGAAAGCGAAGGCGTGGCCCGCCCCGTCGGCAATGACGTATTTCCCTATCGAGAACAGCGCTTCTTGGGCGCAACCAGTAACTGCGAGCCCGGAAGGGGCGAGCATCCTTGTGCCCCCACTCGCAATCCACTCTGGCCCGTGGCGGTCGACAACTACAGCGAACCCATGATCGTGCAATGCCTGGACGCGAACTGAGTGGACACTCGCAGACGCGCGGCAGCTCGGCGTAACTAAGCGAACAACAGTAACGAAACCGCAACACATCCAAAACGATACGGCAGTCTTTGGAAAAAGAGCCGTCTGATAAGGGTTGTAAGGTATCGCGGCGGACGGACGGCCACTTGGGGCCACCCAGCTCTCCTCTCCTTCTCTCTCCTCTATCTCTCTCTCTCTCTTTCTCTCTCTCGTTTCCGTTAGGATTCTATCATAGGAGGAAAGCGTATTACACATTGTTTCCTTTTGCGGAGGATGACAATCGGATTCCTTTTGTGAAGGCTTACAATAGGAATCCTTTTGTGTAGCATTACACTAGGATTCCTTTTGTGGAGCATTACATTAGGATTCTTTTGTGCAGGATTACAATAGGATTCCTTTTGTGGAGGATTACAATAGGATTCCTCTTGTGGAGGATTACAGTAGGATTCCTTTTGTGGAGGATTACAATAGGATTCCTTTTGTGACAGATTACACATTGATTCCTTTTGTGGCGGATTACAATAGGATTCTTTTGTGGAAGATTACAATAGGATTTCTTTTGTAGAGGATTACAATAGGATTCCTTTTATGGCGGTACTTAGGAGAAACCTAGGAGGAGGGAAAAAAAATTAAATCAAGAAAATTGCAAGTTGTTCAATGATTTTCAATGTTTTGCACAGAAAAA